GCACTTCATGTGAAAACTGTGTTAATAACTGGTAGCAATCCCCATACAAATGCAGCCGAATCCGGCTGTCATCTAAAGCAGGCCTGTCCTTCTCTGTCAAAGCCCAGAACTTATAAACAAAATAGCCGTTTTTGACTTGCGGCGGTTTACTTATTTTCATGTGAAAAATGAATTTCTATGAAGAAATCAGTATATTGCGATATGATACATTTTCATTAGCAGAAACCGTGTAAAAGTGACACACGATGCACGTTTAATGTGCAGTGATTCTTCACTTACGTGGTTTAACCACCCCCTTCTCTTCGTCACCCACTATGAGCAAGATATCTCATCATCAATAGCAAAGTACTCCTGTTATATACGTATTACGGCACATCATACTGATAATGTTTGCTATATATCAACATATTTATCACTGCTTAACCTTGCAAAATAACAATGGTCTTAGTTATTCAGCTTTTCAAGCAAGAATTTTTATGACAGCTAGTTTAGAACTTATGGTTTACTAATGGTTCTAGACATGGTCTATCGAGCGAAATCTTATCGTGGGATGTACTACGATCAGTTGTGGGGCAATACCTATTCATCAAATAAAAAAAATTTTCTAATGCATCTCCAGTCAACATTGGTATTAAAGTATTTTTGTTTTCGTCTTTTAGCTAGATGAAATATTGAAGGTGGCCGTGACGTACATTGTTGTTAGTCGGGCTTTGTTGAAATTTCCCCGGCCACCAGCGCATAGAGTGACACATCTTTATCCTTTTTTGTTTGTTCTCCGCTCAGTGTTGATTAAGTATTAGAACGTTTAACGGTCACCCGCTGGTTCTTCCCACTCCCTTATTAATTAAAGATTGGTTCCACCACTGCACACGCTGATTCAATGCATAAGCACTACGTCCATCAGTGTAATAAACTTAAGATCTATTTACACTGCCGCAGTCTAAATCGAGATCGTCTAAGGAATCTTTATTAATACACCTTATTAATGGAAAAAAATAAAAAATTAAAAATACACTGACTGTGTATCATGATTTCAGTGAAATGATTTTTACTCCGGAGACACCTTAAAACGTATCCTATAAAATCCAGATTGTAAGCGCAAGTGTGATTAACAATTTCTATAGTACAAGCGACAAGTTAAATGCTAGTCAGTTATGTTGCTGCAACCAGAGTTGCATTATTCAAGGCCGCGGCCAAACTTTTAATAATCAAACAGCATGGCCTTTGACCAAGTCTTATTCATTATAATTCATTGCAATTTTATGGAAATAATAATCATGCTTTAAATAGACTTTGATATCGCTTCCAAGCAATCTATATTAATTTAAAATGGTTTTTGAGACGACTGTGAATTGGACTGGATTTGATAGATCAAATACAACTTTTGGGGATAAATCAGCAAAGAGAAATGAAATGATGAATAACAAAATATGATAAGCCCTCGGGGGGAAGCTTCCTCAGGAGAAATGTTCTTATGATCGGGATGATCACGCCTTTCGACAATATATACATGTAGCGCACCTAAGATAATAAAATGAAATTTTGAAAGGAATTAACAATATAAATCTTTCAGTTCCATTGAAATCTCATGTTCTTAAATGTCAGTCACAATCCAATAACGACCGTCACATAATACCAAGGCAGGACCCCTGCGGAAAAACGTTGTTCAGTCGCGAAGAAAGACGAACAAGATTACGCCTGTTGAAAGGCCGTGTAAAAGAGAAAGGGGTACTCCTGCGCGGAAAAACGTCATTTAGTCGCGCGTTGTAAAGGCCAACTTGCACTGTTCCGACGTCATTCCGCGGAGGCTGAAAAATCGGAGAGATTTGTTTTTGTGCTGTGATGAGGTGACAACTTTATTAGGTTCTTAGATAAAGATGATTTGATTGCAAGGGATGCTGTATATCATGCATCCTGTCTTTCCTCTTACAGGGTATATAAGTACTAGTAAAACCAATCTGACTTATCACCCCTCAATGAAATCTGGTAATCTATATGATGTTGCAGTCTATCAACTGATAGCAGAAATAGATTATGACCTGATGGCAAACAATAAAGCTTTTACACTACTAGTATCTAGCCTTCTTGACAGGTAGAGATTTCTGCTCCTTTCTAGTGTGGCGTCCAACTATCGAGGTGAAAAGCTCAAAATGAGACTACAAAGCATTATGGTGATGCTGTTTCATTTTCTTGTATAATACGGACAAGGGAAGTCCACTAGCTGTTATGTGTTGTAGTAAGATTTCTTTAGGTGNCTTCCCCCTCAGAAGTGAAGCCATATCAAAAGGGATGTTGATTTTTCCCCAAATATCCAATATGGAAGATAAGAGACCAACGCGAACAGAAACACTCCGCTTATTAATAATTCGACAAATATCTTATTGGTATAGCGGGATAACGTGTAAATATTTGCGACCAAATGGTCAAACAGCTGTGCAGTGAATAGCACAAAATCTGTATCAATATTATAACTTTGTGAATTATTTTAGATTAAGCAAATCAAACTACCATTGTTTATTTGATAAATATGAGCCACGGTGAAAATAAGATTTTTTTCTTTTTTGTTTGTTTGTTTTGTTGTTTTTTTTTTTCAATTAATTTTATTTCCAGTAAAGTTCCTTTCTTATACGTACTACAGATGCGCCTCGGTTTACAGATGCCTGGTCATATTTGGCCCTGATAAAATAAATGTAAATTGATGTCACATGGATTTGTAATTTTATTTTTGACCATACTTCTGTGATTCAATACTTTTTTTCTTGGAGTGGGACATAATCTTATTAAGGGTTCTGAAAAAAAATAAAACATAACGCTCACATACAGAAGCAACAAAAAGTAATTATTATTTAATTTCTCTTCTGAAAGAAAGGATGAAGCCTCATACTGCACCGAGATTACCTTTCCTAAAAATGCCTTCGGTATCCTCCGCACGAACACATGTACAATGGGTATTTAATAACTTGTCCAGCTGCGTGCCTTGCTGTCAAGTACAGTAATATAACGGAATGCGATATTAATATGCTACAAGTATTTTTTTGCCATAATATTTATATATGTTATTTGCTCAATATATGTACTTTTCAAGGCAAATCGCAGCAACGTGTTTGTGGGTCTAATTTGTTGTAGCAATTGTCAGATGTGAAAGTTACTATTTACATGTACAACGTGCAGTTTATTCAGATTCCTTGCCTCGTTAATGTCTATGTACTGTGAGGATTATCTTAAACTATGGTGGTAGGGCTAAACCCTGCTTCTAAGAATGTGCATCATTCTTCTTAAGAATATTTACTTTTAAATAATAATCCTGCTGCTAAAGAAACAGTGACAATGTTGGGGTATTTTATTGTCCCCAGTTCACTTGGAAATTGAATATATCATTTGAAAAACCGAAATGAAGTTAAAAGCGAGTGTTGTGATATCATTGGTAATGCATATCAAGATGATGTACGACTCGTGATCAGTAAAACACTGAGAAAATCAAATTAGCAGTTAGGCGTGATGAAGTCAGATTTATGCGCATCAGCTGGATTGTGTCATTTGTTGCTTTTGAATATGATTCCAATTTAATTATGAGCTCAACTAGAGGTATATTGGTGCAAGTATTTAGTGTTATGATTTATTAAAAATGGCATTAAGAGTAAATATTGGTCGCTTCCCTCTTTCCCAAGAAGGATGATATATAAACAGGTGCCTAAAATAGCGATATCACAGACACACACACACACACACACATATACTGACAGTCAATGAAAACGCACCATTTATTTATCAAATAATATTTTTAATTCCTTTAAAACAAAAGGAAAATAAAAACTTTCGTGTGAAATATGACCGACTATTCAGTCAAACAAGATAACTCTCTTATGACCAAGCACGTGAATTTGCATTCGCTTATATGGTTGGAATCGATTCTCGGTAAAGAAAAGGTCAAGAAAGTTTTCTGATGCGTTTTCATTGACTGTCAGTATATATATATATATATATATATATATATATATATATTGACATATATATTAATGACTTATATATGAATGACTTGGTTATAAGATGCACATGTAATTACATATATTGTTGGTTATCGATTTCTTTCAAGTCGATTTTAACATATATGCTTTGATTGCATAATTTTACTTAGTCTTTACGATGGGGGTAATTCTGTAAAGTTTGAATAAATGTTTTATGAAAGGACACTCTTTATTTATTATTATTTTTTGTGTGTGTGAATTTTATTACTTTTTTTTAAATTTTTACCTAAAAACTAATCTGTGTATAGAGATAAAACATTCTTTTCTATGTCGATTTAACTCTCAAATTACACGATCCGTTCAGTGAAACTGCAAGGAAATATATTTTATATAAAATGCACAAGTTGATTAAAGTAATGGACATTGAAGCAATCTGTGCAAGGTTTTATTGCAATTGGACACTCTAATAATTGGACACACTAATAATAATAATAATAATAATAATAATAATAATAATAATAAAGCAAAAAAAGTGAAAAAAGTACTTTCCGAGATCTTGGATACATAGATTGAAAAGTTTAACGCATTAGAATGAATGCAAACAACTACAATCGCCCTCTCTTCTACAATCAACATCTTCTACTCCAGAAGCCATTGGCAAAAATACATTTTAGACTCTAATTCTTTTTTAAACGTGAATGCAAGTCATTTTGTGTAGAGAAATTACAATCACCAAATGTTGATATTAGGACCGACTGGTATATCTGTTTTGTGCAATGTCATGTACGTGTACAAAATCATAAACCAATTGCAATTAAGGTTGGGTGTTCAAATCAATGTGTTTTCTTTCAATTAAAAAGCACGTTTCTGGTCCATAAAGCTACGGAATTTCAAATGTATTTCATTTAATCGCATATAAACCTTTTCAAAAAAAAAAAAAAAAAAAAAAAAAAAAAAAAAAAAACATAATATTAATAATAATACATTTACGTCTACAAAGCCGGTGACAACGTAGCACAACTAATGCAATGAAATTCAAATTTCATCGGTTCTGACTGGAATGTAATCAGTATTGGATGATCTGCGCTTGCGCGTTACGATCACTGCTGCTATGACAACAACGCATGCGCTGACAGCCATGACACCGGCTCCAAGTGCAGTGGCAGCCGGTGCCTGGGCACCTTCCTCGCCGTCCTCCTTATTCTTCCTCTCGTCTTTTACGGCAAACTCTGGGAAAACAAAGACGGGGTATTTTAACACATTCGTTACGCTAGTATTTGGCAGTTGCAACATTTGGTTAAGTAAGAAAAAGGATACATCATCTGCCTCTAATTGCTAGAGGAATACAAAATAAGACCAAAGGGGTCATTTTATTATGATGAAGGCCGGGGTGGAAAATGGCTTCATTAGTCTGCTTTGTTACGGCCATCAAACTCATTTTCAGGGTGGCAGCGAGGTGCGGATATAAATCAATTTTAATTAAAATTCCAAAAACGCGTTCGGTACGTTTAGTTCAAACAATAAGAAATGTACCTTCCCTTTAAATTCAATATATATGTTACTTGCCTGCTACAGGGTTCTCTTTCTGGACGAACACGGGTCCCTGCACCAGGCTGTACACCTCTACGTCACCAGGTACCGCTCTCTTCCCCCTGCCGCCATTTTGTGGACAAGCATACCCTTCACTGGGCCGCAGACACCTACTGTCCCGGTCAGTGCCGTTACACACGATAACGTCACAGTGGATGTACACCTCTGGATCGTTGAAGAACTCGAAGGCCTTGACAGCGAACTGCGCATGCGTGTCGTTAGAGGGATAGAAGCGTACCGTAGGGTCGTCTGGGCATCTGGAAATATACAATCGTGGATTTTTTTTTTATTTTGTGCTGATTGTAAACGTTTGAACTATACATCGGATAGTCAGTGTACATGCCATTACAATGTACACTTGAGTGTTTATAAATTCCCTTATATGTTCATCATCTTACACTATACCACCAGTAGTACTGATTTAATGTACTGAATATGTACATGTATTTGTTGTTTAAATCCCTTTTTATGGGTGAAAAAAAATGCTATCTTGCATCAAGCTAACAGATACAAGCCTAATGACTTCAGTACAAAATCTGCGATTGTAATCTGCGATTGAAAACACCAAACTCACTTGTTGCTAATGAGGGCATATTGTGGATAGCCCTTCGTAGTCTTCGGCGTCGCCACGCAGTTCTGTAGGACCACCTTAAGATTAACGTCCGGCGTTAGTAAAGCCACGTCCACATACATGTCCTGGTTAAGTCTGACCACGTGGGGATAGCTGGTCACGGGGTAGGTGAAGTAATCAGAATGGTACAGGTCCATCCTCAGGGTGAAGTTACCATTAGCAACATATACTCGGTTGCCGTACACTGTGCCCTGCATTAAGAGCAAAGATAATTGTTTTATAAGTCTGTACGGACGAATTTATTGAAAACCAAAATTAACCGAATGCGCCATAATGTTGATCTGTTACTCCGCATCAAAATGGCTCGTTATTGCATGTATTGCAACATCATATTTTTTGGCAAATTGTACAAGGGACTGGCACAACTGACCGTGCTTTGAGTTAGTCTGATAACACCACTGATAATAACAACACACGCGTACAAATACCGAGTAGAGCAAGTCATTCCTTTATTCCCCGGGTGTTACACAAAGTGAAAACAAAACCAAAATTATCTCACCTTAGCGACGAATTCCTCTCCTACGTCACCGTATCTCGACAGTACACATTCCACTGTGTACCTGTAGTGCAGCTCGCGGTTGATGAGGGAGTTACTGTACGGACGGAGGACGAGGGCGTTTCTGTAGATGAATGTATCTTTGGTTTCCTAGACAAACGAAACATTATTGTTATTTAAAATGTGTAAACATTTTGTATTAAGGGCATACTGGTAACATTGGGGGTATCGTCAGCGGAGGCTGATATTGAGGCAATATTACTAACCAAGATTACTTACGGATTATATACTTCAACATCAAAAATTTCGTTAACCCCATGATAATAAACCCATGCGTACAAGTATAAGTTAATTTAGATGGAAAGGGTGGTGATTTATTTATTTTTCATTTTGTTTTTACTAATTTCGACAAATATCAATTACCAGTCGGCGGGTTCCACAGATTTGAGTGGCAAGGGGCACATGGAATATTGCGTTGCCGCCAAGGTATTGGTCAGGAACACACTTGATGTCATCCAAGGTTAAGGTCATTGGACCAAGACGAGACTGGATGTCATTTACGTCCACCGTCACAGTCATACCCTTTGTCGAGTCACAATTCACGGAAACGTTGGGGTTCACTGAAACAGCAGTACCATTGTTTAATGTGGGAAATTCAAGTTACTGTATTGCAACGTTTGTACTGTAGCGACGATTCTATAAATTTGGTTAAACCCAAGTCCATCTATACATAGATGACCACACTTGGTCATTTCAGTATTTAAAATAGCTTGGTCGCTTGAGGGTTAAAGGCTTTCATCTGCTCGGTAAATACTAATAAATATTGAAAACGTCCATTGTTAGCTTTTTTTTTTTCAAAAATAATTGTATGTCTTGGACATTGACATTTAACACATATACTTTTTTTTAGTAAGGTGGGGAAAATACACGTTATCAAGAATGTATTCCTGTATTGATGTTCCATGTATCCATGTTCTTTTATTCTTACCTGGTGGTGCAGCAGTAGCCTCTAAAAAGAAAATAATTTAAATCAAATAAGGCATTAGTATATGCAAGTTGAAGAAATCGTTGAAATACAAAGAAGCAAGTCATAATACAATCCATTCCTACATGTCTATATGGAACTTTGTGATAACCTCTCTTAAAACAGCTGCTCTAAAACAATACTTCCCCAAACAGACCGACATGTACCGACTTCGGTAAGCGCGAGGTAGGTCATATTACAGTTAAGGGCTACTTTACATCCCCCTTCAACGGTTTTGTTATTTCACGCCGTCGTAATTGGCAGTTAGGAAGATGAAACTTAAATAATTCACGCGCTGTCGCTACAAGACTGGTTGTTTTTCCAGCAGTGTATGTACGATTGAGGTGAAAGGTACGATAAAGTTTTGAGAGTTCCAGGAACGTGGGGGACGCACTAGTCAGCTGTCAAAGTACTAATACGAGTACCCATAAATTTTCATTCGTTGGAAATATAGTATACAAAACGTTAAACGGATAATAACTCTGCGTGTGAGATCTATATTTTACAATAAAACATTTTGAACAACTCATAGAAGTATGATATATTCTGTTGTACAAGAAAAATGGCAGTTATAGCTATCATTCTGATATCTGAGCTTGTCTTTAGACCACGTGGCCTCCAATGATGGCTATGCTATATTATAATCTCTTAAGAGATTATAACAAAAAAAAAAAAAAGAAA